ACATATGCACACACATATATACATATACATAAATATATATACATATACATTGAGGGGGGAAGGAGAAGGGAGAACATGCATATAAGATAGCACACAAATATAAAATATTAATAGGTGATGTTATTATGTCATTTTACTTTTTTTAATGATTTTTGGGTTTTTTTTTAAAGATTTTATTTATTTATTTGACAGAGAGAGCACAAGTAGGCAGAGCAGTAGGCAGAGGGAGAGGGAGAAGCAGGCTCCCCACTGAGCAAAGAGCCTGATGCAGGGCTTGATCCCAGGACCCTGGGATCATGACCTGAGCCAAAGGCAGAAACTTAACCAACCTAGCCACCCAGGTGCCCCTAAAGATTTTTTTTTTTTTTTAAGATTTTGTTTATTTATTTGACAGAGAGAGACACAGTGAGAGAGGGAACACAAGCAGGGGGAGTGGGAGAGGGAGAAGCAGGCTTCCCGCTGAGCAGGAGCGGGGCTCGATCCCAGGACCCTGGAATCATGACCTGAGCCAAAGGCAGACAGTTAATGACTGAGCCACTCAGGCGCCCCTAAAGATTTTATTTTTATGTAATCAGTACACCCAACATGGGGCTCAAACTCACAACCCCAAGATCAAGAGTTGCATGCTTTGGGGCACCTGGGTGGCTCAGTCGTTAAGCGTCTGCCTTCGGCTCAGGTCATGATCCCCGGGTCCTGGGATCGAGCCCCGCATCGGGCTCCCTGCTCAGTGGGAAGCCTGCTTCTCCCTCTCCCACTCCCCCTGCTTGTGTTCCCTCTCTAGCTGTCTCTCTCTCTGTGTCAATAAATAAATTTAAAAAGAAAATCTTAAAAAAAAAAAAAAGTTGCATGCTTTACCGACTGAGACAACCAGGTGCCCCTGATGCCATTTTATAATAACATATATGCCATATATTTTTCCACATATGTGTGTATGTAGAGGATATAAAGGTGTCCTTTGTACTATTTTTATTTTTGCAAATTTTCTGTAATTTTGAAGTAATTTCCAAATGTCAAGTCAAAAACATACAGGATGAAGCTTACTTCTGAAAATGGCAGCAGACTGAATTAGTCACAAGAATCCCCTGCAGAAAACAATGATAAAACTGGATAAAATACAATAAATAATTACTTCAAGCCACTGGAAAACACCCAGAAGTGACTAGAAGCTGGCTGGAGTAAAGAGTTCACACTAAAAAAACTGCAATAAAAAGGGAGGGGTAAGAATTTTCTTGCTACAAAGCACTCCCAACACACACAACTACAGCAGTGGAGAAATACCACAGCCTTATGAGCTCAAGGTGCCACGGGTTAGGATTCAGAGATGGAACAGAAGCTCCAAATACGTGTTAAGAATAGAAGGAAATGGGGCGCCTGGCTGGCTCAATCGGTGGAGCACATGACTCTTAGTCCTGGGGTTGTAAGTTCGAGCCCCGTGTTGAATGTGGAGATTACTTAAAAATAAAATCTTAAAAAAAAGAGAATAGAAGGAAATGTACAGTGTCAAATCCTTGTATTAGAAAAGAAGGAAGCCTGAAAAGTAACAATGTTAAGCATCCATCTTAAAAACTTGGGAAAGAAATACTAAAATAAGCCCAAAGTAAGAATAGAAAGGAAATACTAAATAGAAGTTCAAACATAATAAATATAATAGACATGATGAACAAAGCAAAAAAAAAAAAGGCAAAATAAACAGATGAAACAGTTGTCTCCAAAGAACATACACAGGACAAATTATGGAATTAATTAAACCATTCAGCAAGGCTGCTGGTATATGCTCATTATGATCAAATGAATTTGAGTTCTGCATTTTAACAAAAAATTATAAAAATTTAGTTTTTAAAAACATAACTCTCAAAAAAAAAGTAACTCTCAAAACAACAAAAAAAATAAGCCTATGTATAAATTTAAAGAAAGATGTATATTTACATTATAAATTATAAAATCTTGCAAGAGGTAGTGATAAGGATGTATTAATAAATAAGTGAAAGAAGACACCACACTAAGAGAAAGACTTAATATTCTAAAAGATGTCAATTCTCTCTAAATTAATGAGTATATTAATATATGTATATGATTGAATATATAAATTCAATGCAACTACAACAAAATCCTGACAGGAGACTTTATGAAATCTGACAAGCTGATAATAAAAGCCCACTGGGCTGAAGCTACAGAGACAAGAATAAGACAGGAAGACTTACCCTACCAGACACTAAGACTTATTACAAAGCTATAGGAAATTGAAACAGTGTGATATTGGCGTAGGCATAACAGATACAGCAGTGGAATAAAAGAGAGCTCAGACATATCCTGATCCAGGCATATACAGGCATATACTGAAATTCAAAATACGAGAGGTGGCATTAAAAATTGGGGAAAATGATGAATTATTCAATGAACGGGGCCCAGTCTGATGGTGACGTATTTAGAAATCTATAAAAATAGACCCGTATCTCTCAACACACACAAAATCAATTCCAGACAGATTAAAGACCTAAGTCGTAAAAAGCAAAAATATTTTTTAATTTAAAGAAGAAAATCTAAATAATGTCTTTATGATCTTGACAGAGAGAAGGAATTCTTAAATCAGACAGACACACATACAGACAACACAAAAAAATCTGACAAATCCAAACACATTAAAATTTATGAAATTATTATTAAAGGCCATTAAAACATTGGGTAAATTTCATAACACTCTTGAAATGAAAGTAACGGGAAACAGATCAGAGGTTGCCAGAGGTTAAGGGTGGAGGGAGGGTAGCATGAAGGAGTTTCTTTCTAGTGGTAGAACATTCTGTATCCTTACTGTGGTAGCACTTACATCAATCTATGTAAGTGACAAAATTTCACAGTACTATGCAACAACAACAAAAGAGTACATGTAAAAACTGATGAAATCTGAATCTGATTAAGGTCTGTAGTGGATTTAATAGTATTGTACCAATGTCAACTTCCTGGTTTTGAAATTGGAGAAAGCTGGGTAAAGAATAGATGGGAACTTGCTGTATTATTTTTACAAACTGAGACTTAAATTATTTCAAAATTAAACAACTTTTTATTTTTTAAAAGATTTATTTGAGAGATAGTGACAGAGATATCGAGAGAGAGCAGGGTGGGGAGGAGGGGGAGAAGCAGGCTCCCCGCTGAGCAGGGAGCCCAACATGGGGCTCAATCCCAGTACCCTGAGATCATGACCTGAGCCAAAGGCAGACACTTAGCCACCTGAGCCACCCAGGCACCCCTAAACAGCTTTTTATAAAGCAGGTAGGCAGTCCACAGATTGGAAGAAGATGGACATAATACATTTAATGGACAAAGGAATCATTTCCAGGATTTATTTAAATACTTCTACAAATGAACAAGTAAAAGAAAAGCAGGCTAGAGATCTGAACAGGAAATTCGCAGAAGAGGTAACATCAATGCTAATCAACCTAGGAACATAGGAAAAGATGCTCAAACTCAATGCTAATTAAATTAAAACTGGTGTGAGAAGCCATTTCATACCCAAAGGATGGTCAGAAACATAACTCTTTGTTATGGCAGCCTTGCAAACTAATGAAATAACTGTTGAGAGCAATTTGGCATTACCTAGGCAGGATGAACAAGTGCACACTCTTTGATTCAGCTACTCTACTCCTACGCATCTATCTTAGAGAAACAAGGGCTTATATGCCCAAGGACACATGTATTAGAATGTTTATAGTTGGGTGCCTGGGTGGCTCAGTTGGTTAAGCAACTGCCTTCGGCTCAGGTCATGATCCTGGAGTCCCGGGATCGAGTCCCGCATCGGGCTCCCTGCTTGGCGGGGAGCCTGCTTCTCCCTCTGACCCTCCTCCCTCTCATGCTGTCTCTCATTCTCTCTCTCTCAAATAAATAAATAAAATCTTTAAAAAAAAAAAAAAAGAATGTTTATAGTTACAATTTTTTTAAGATTTTGTTTATTTCAGAGAGAGAGAGTGCACACGAGCAGGGGAAGGGGCAGAGAGAGAGGGAGAAGCAGACTCCCTGCTGAGCAGGGAGCCTGACACGGGGCTCGTTCCCAGGACCCTGGGATCATGACCTGAGCCGAAGGCAGACGTTTAACCGACCAAGCCACCCGGCGGCCCTATAGTGCATTCCTTAATAGCCAGAATTGGTAAAAACATAGACGTCCAACAAAATAAAATGGATAAATGAATTGTAATTATGCATATAATACAATAAATACTATATAGTAATGAAAATGAATGAACCAGAACAACATATATCAACATGGGTTAATCTTACAAACTCAGTGTCAGTGGAGAGAGCAAACTACGGGAGGATATACATAATATGATGACATTAATGAAAGTTTAAAAATGTCAAACAACACTGTAGATGGTTGAGGGATTCACATATATGAAGTAAAGCAAAAGGCCATGCATAAGATTTATAAATCCCTAATTTTGAAAAAACAGTTCCCTTTGGCCATGGTATGGGGAGGCAGGGGAAATAGGAACTTCAATTGTTTAGGTAATGCCTTATTTCTTAAGCTGGGACGTTGGCTCATGAGAGCATATTTTTTTATTATTCATAGCTTGCTGTAATCTTAATTACTAAGTAACACATTTTTTAAATTATGGGAATTGGAAAGGTAGAAATAATCAATTACACTTCACCTACGGGAAACTGAAAAGTATCTAAAGGGTGGCAGACTTAATGTCCATAGGATAGATGTAGTTTTTAAGATCAAGAGAAGAGAAAGAAGCCCATGAATGAGGGAAGACTGAACATGATGAAGAAGGCAAGCCAAGTAAAAGGAAGGGAGGCTTCCTGGTGGAGGAAAGAAACAAGGAAACCAAGAAAGCCCCGCCACCCCAACTGAAAATGATATTCTGGAAGGGAGGTCATGCCAGGCAGACTTACCAATGACCTAAGAGGCCTGAGAAGAGCTTCTTCCCCGTACCTGAGAGATGCCTCCTCCTTCCCTATCTTCCAAGCTGTGGATGGTCCCATCTACCTTGCGTCACACTCACCTGGACAGAGGCCCAGTGGATGTTGTTTCTCCTTTATCCAGGGCTCTTCCCCTTGCTCCAGCTGAGAAATGAGTTTTGGTTTGGAAAATGGAATTTCTGCTCATGGGGAAAAACAACAACAACAACAAGGAGATTCTTGGTTATGGGCTCAAGGGGCCATTTCTTAACTCAGAGCCAAAATGCATAGGGAAACCCAAAGGGCGATACAAAGGACCTATAACTGTGAACTCTCCTCAGAAGAGCTGAGTAAGTAAAGGTGACTCTGGTCAGGAAAACAGCATATTAACACTTAGTGAAGGAAAATCACCTAGGTTTCAAACAAGATAAAGCAAAAAGAGAGCCCCAGCCTTGAGAAAGAGGCGTGGAAATGCAGTGTTAAAGGCAACATGAGTAAATCTACATGTTTTCAATTCCACTAAATCCAGATTTCCCCTGAGGGAGGGGGGGGGATTATTGTTTCTAAGCCCAACCCTAGGACAAAGCTGCTTCCTGGGTAGCCTTTTCCTCGTGATATGTAGAAAATACTCTGTGGGGCAGATTTTAAGTGCTAAGGGAAACCATCCTTACCTAGTGAGACCAGGTGATTGTAGGTCTCCAGCATCACTTCCCTGTGCAGGGTCCTCTGAGCTGGGCTCAGCAACCTCCACTCCTCCTGGGTGAAGTCCACAGCCACATCCCTGAATGCCACGAATGCCTTTAACACAAAACACAGCACTGTTCATCCGGAGTGCGCCTTGCTCGCAGCTCAGGATAAGCAATCAAAAGGCTTCCCTGTGGGAGGTAGATATTTCTAAACCCTACTTTGGATTGTGAATGAAGGGTAGAATATGCCACTCCAATTTATGCCATTTTGGCATAAGGATTATTTTGGGCTGAAGGCATTGAGAAGAAGCAGACACAAGAAAAGTTCTCTGCTCTCCCCCTATCTGCCTAAGAGCAGAACCTAAATTTGTGAAAGTATCTCCGCTGCCGGCTCTACCGGGAAGAATAGGAAGTCAATCTCTGGAAACAACTCTAGACCCTTACCAGCCACGAGATGGCACCAAAGGAATCCACACAACAAACCTTACTAACTACCCCTTATCTTCCACCACAATTTGCTGTCCTCAAAACTCAAAATGCTTTTCCTTTGTCTTGTCGCTTCTCTAAAAAGTTATTGTTCTTTTGTTAAGATGCTGTATGCGCCCAAGTTCTAACCACCCCTTTGAGATACTCATCACTGAGGGCTCCCATGTGTATCTGTTAATAAACTTCTGTTTGCGGGGCGCCTGGGTGGCTCAGTCGGTTGAGCGACTGCCTTCGGCTCAGGTCATGATCCTGGAGTCCCGGGATCGAGTCCCGCATCGGGCTCCCTGCTCGGCGGGGAGTCTGCTTCTCCCTCTGACCCTCCTCCCTCTCAAGCTCTCTGTCTCTCATTCTCTCCGTCTCAAATAAATAAATAAAATCTTTAAAAAAATAAATAAATAAAATAAAAAAATAAACTTCTGTTTGCTTTTCTCTGTCTTTTGTTGGTCTAATTTATAAGGCCCCAGCCAATGAACCCAAAATAGGTAGAGGAAAAATCAATTTTTTTTTTCTTCTCCAAGGGTTCAAAGACACTTATTCTCCTTTCTCTATCCAGCCAGCATCATTTATGCACCCATTACTGTCAACATTCGAGGCTAGCTGCTACCGGGGATGAAAGCAAAACACAAGTCCCTTCACATTGGGAGCTTTAAATCTAGGCAGGGAGAAGAGGAAGACATCACACACACGAAGTTAAACAGTAAAAAAAAAAATCATCTGACTGAGCTTGAAGAGTATCAGAGACTACTTGGTCTAAGCATTTATGCTCTACCTACCTGAAGCCTCTGAGTCTCTGGGGGGTGAGTACCCACCAGTATGTATACTTTGTAGCAGGACCCGTTCCTCCCCCTTGCTCACACTCCAGCTGCCCTGATCCTGCCTGAAGAGTGCAAGTGTGTGGTTGGAAAGACTATGGACTCGAATCACACTGTCCCCAACTAGAGTACCCTTCAGCAAATTAGCTAACCTCTCGGCATTTCTGTTTCTACTGTGAACCAAGAAAACACAGTGTTTATCTCACAGGACTGTGCTGAGGATCAGAGAAGTTGGTACATGTAAGGATTCAAGACAAAGGACTGTTGCACATAGTGAGTGCTCAGGGAGGACTTCCCTAGCCGTTCTAGAATTCTTCCTTTTCACTCAGGTTCTTATTCCCCTCTGCTGCTTTAATGTACCCCCTTAACTCTAGATAATGCGTTACTCACTTTTATTTTCTGACTGCCTACTAGACTGAAAGTTCTATCTGCATTGTTCACTGCTATTGCCCTGGTGCCCAAAGCAGAGCCTGCAAACACTAAGCAGTCAAATATTTTTAGGTGACTGAATGTGCACTTACTATTATTATTCCCCTAACAAAGTTTCAAATGCCCTTCTGCTACCTAGAACGCTGTACTTCGGAGGGTGGGAATATAAATGGCCGTTGGATGAAGGTTTTGGTGAGGTGTCTTGGTGTGGAGGTGTGCAGAAACCAAGCCCCAAGGAGCCTAGGGATCCAGTTTGGGGATTTTTCCTAGCCCATCAGTTTTTTTGTCTTTTAAAAGAGAACATAATCTGGGACGCCTGGGTGGCTCAATCAGTTGAGTGTCCAGCTCTTGGTTTTGGCTCAGGTCATGATCTCAGGGTTGTGAGATCAGGCCCCACATCAAGCCCCACATCAGGCTCTGTGCTTGGCGGGGAGTCTACTTGGGATTCTCTCTCTCTCCCTCTGCCCCTCCTCCCTCTCTCTAAAATAAATAATCTTTTTTTTTTTTAAGATTTTAAAAGAGGACACACTCTGCAGTCCATAGATAGGGTCATTTTGAGCCATACACTATATTTTCTTTATATCCCTTATATGTTGGATGATTTCACATGAAAATATCAACTTATGAGTCCTGTTGAAAAAATCCATAATCTGACCACTCTGGGCTTTGCATTGCTGCAGGGCCACAGATGGCTGAAGGTGACCCACACTAGGGGTCCATTAGCCCACCCATATTATTGGCAGATTGCTGCAACTCCTACCTTACTTGTTTCATTTAGCTCCCTGCCTGGTCCCTTTGGTGATGTGATTTTGCATCCCTTCTCAGAATACCATCCCCCTTAAGGGATGACACTGTGTCTCCCAAACTAATTCTATGCTGTGCCCTCTCAGGGGACGCTCCCCTAAATTTCCTGTTCTCTATCAGCACAACTGTTCTGCACTGGCTGTGGAACGGCCTTAAAACAGGACCCCCCTGCCTGCCCCCCCACCTTTGGTAATAGCTATCCCAGAAGCCAGCCCTCCATCAAAGTAATTAATTATAAATAAAGCACAGCCAGGATGAGTGAGAACTATGGTTCTTACCCCTCATCTCTAGCTGTACTTTAGAACTAACTGTGGTGTTTTAAATTATGGACTCCTGGGTCTCTCCACAAATGGATGAAATCAGACTCTCTGGGGATAGGGCTTTTATACTTTTAAAGGCTCCTAAGTATAGTCACGGTTTAAAATCAGTAGGTCAGAGGAATGTCAAGAGGGAGAGGTCACTGTAGGATAGAGAGATCACAGCAGGTTTTATGAGAAGAAGGTATGATCTTGGTCATAAAGGGCAGGCAGGATTTTGAAGGATTAAGGAGAAATAACAGGGGTGGGCCCTCCAGATAAGACATCTGAGATGGGAGGAAATAAGGAATGAAAAGAGAGCAGGCAGGTCATAGCAGACTACAGAGGGTTCGAAAGGCCAAAGGAATATAAAATCCTATCCTCTACTGTGCATTGAAGGTAATATATGAGTAATACCCTTGATGAGTACACGAGTGTACACGATGAATAGATGAGTGTACATGTGGATAGACAGGTGATAACGCACGTGTAGCAAAATATTCATTGTTGAATCTAGGTGGTGGGTATGTGAGTCAATGTTAAGGTATATTTTTTTCTGTAGATTTGAAACTTTTCATAATTAAATATTGAAAAGACTATTCATTCATTCAGATATCTGCCTAGCCCCTGTGGTGATTTTGGTTTTTAAAATCCCTTCTTAGAATGAACACACACACACACACGCGTGCACACAAATACCTAGAAAATCTCTGACAAAGAAGCTACACTGCAGACCAACCTACGTTCTTTCAACAAGTTTAACACAACTGGTATTCCTACAGCCCTGGAAAAATTCATGGTTTCTTTGTCTGAGAGCCACACATGTAGGGGGGTACGGAAACACTAAATGGATGACTCTCCATGACCTATTCCAAACCTCTCTCACTGAGGAGCAACTCAGCCAGCAGGTGGTGGCACTAAATCCAACTCAAGGGGAGGCGTGACTGGCAAAAAAGTAACCTATCCCTTTGTCAGCTGAAGAATGGATTGGTAGCTGATGAGAACTGACAAGACACAGTAGCCTGCAGCTGGATCCTAGCAGAAGACTTCAACATTTTTAAGATGGAGTAATGCGGAGCCAATACTTTGCCTAAAGCTCATAAACACGGGCACAAATGACCCAACAGAGGCAGCGGAGTTCAGTGCACTGGTCTTAAGTGTGGGCCCTGAACCTACAGCAACAACATCCCTTAGGAACTTGTTAGAAATACAAATTCTCGGGGCGCCTGGGTGGCTCAGTCTTTGAGCGTCTGCCTTCGGCTCGGGTCATGATCCCGGGGTCCTGGGATCGAGCCCCCCATCAGGCTCCCTGCTCCGCGGGAAGCCTGCTTCTCCCTCTCCCACTCCCCCTGCTTGTGTTCCCTCTCTCGCTGTGTCTCTCTCTGTCAAATAAATGAATAAAATCTTAAAAAAAAAAAAAAAAAGAAAAAAAAGAAATACAAATTCTCAGGCCCTAGCCCAGAACCACTGAATCAGCATGCGGAGCCCAGCAATCTGTTTTAACAAGGTTTCTCAGTGATTCTGATTGACAGAAAAGTCTGAGAAATGCTCAGGGGCTAAAAGGACACCCTGGAGACAGACTGTGTTCAAATGAGAGCCCTCCTTCTCCCACAACTTGGCATCAGTAACTTGACATTTCTGTGTCTCAATTTTCTAAAAACGGGCACTTTAGGGTTGTTGTGAGACTCAAAGTTGCTAATAATCAACATCCTACGGCTGTGAGGGGAACTAGCCTGATGAGGCTGACGCTGTCAACAACATCAAGTGGAGGAATCACACAACCCCAGTCCCTGATAAGCTTATGAAGGGAGAGGACCAACCCCGAAGTGTGTCCTGGCTCTGGACTTTCTTTCATGTGGGCTCAGTTATTGTTTAGAACAGCCCAAGTGGGGTTTCCTGTTGCTTGCAGCCAAAAGGTATAATATCCTATCTTGTAACAATCCCCCGCCCCCTCCGCCATGAATCCTGCTTCTCTTTTTCTACCCTTTATGCATTTTCCTCCTATACTAACGCTAGGCTTGGCCATGGGACATGCTTTAGCCAACGGGACATCGGCAAACATGACGCAAGCAAAGGTGTGGAAGGCATTTGGGTTTGAGGCTGGCCTTGGTTCTTTCTGTGCAGTCGACCTTGAGGCTGCTATGTAAATAAATGGAGCTTGCCTGCTGACGAGGCCACACAGAGAACCAAGAACGGAGGTACCTCAGCCAACCAGCCTGTCAACCACCAGCCATGTAAGGCCATCCAGCTCCAGCTGAGCAGCCAGCGGACTACAGCCACATGCG